GGTTGGACATTTTCCAGCAGGTGATAACAAGATCTGGCTGGTGGAACGATCTTGTTGACGTCTTTCCTCATCAGGTGACGTAAAGACATCTCCTTATCTGCCCCACAAGACACACTCTTTTTTTTTAAATCTCGATATCCTACTGGGAAAACGCTTCCAAATCAGTAGGCATACTTTTAATAGAAAGATATAACAAGTCATATATATATATTATATTAATAAAAAGATGAGATTTTCTGTTTGTATTTTGATTGTTATTTATATAGAATTAGTTGTTATTTTAATTATGTTATATAAAAATGAATCGAGATTTTATTCTTGAATTTAGATCATGTTGAGGATTTTGGTTATCTTGAGAATTAAGCTATGGTGGTGCAGTCGTGGTTGAATAATAATCTTGAAAATATAATGTCTTGATCAGAGATTTCTTTATTGAGCTGAGGAATACATATAAAAACATAATATGGTAAAATTACCGCCTGGCTTAAGGCGAATAGAACAAGGAAAACAAAAGATTATTTACATAATGTACAAAGATTTGAGCCGGCCATCGGGGAACAACAACAATGAATATTTATAGGGGAAGCGTGACCCGTGGCGGTCGATTTAGCAGAGCATTTTATCTATGAAATATAATTTTAAATAGAATAGTATTTTAATATAACATATATATAGGAAATTAAACAACAAGAATGTTTCTTTCACATTAAAAACAAACTTCTAATGTCCTTACAACGGTGAAAAAAAAATTGGCCCTTTTGTTAACAATCACTTTAAGTAATTATCTTTCTTTATAATTCTTACTTTCCCTTTATTCTTGTCTTTTTGGTGACACTATGGACACAAATAATCTCCAATTTGATATCTGTCAGTGACCATCTCTCTCATCTAGTGATCTTCTGGTAACTTCCTTGGCCTCTTCCAGCCAGTTCATTGGAGGTCTTCCTCTCTTCTTTCAAATTTTCCCAACATCATTGTCTTTTGTGATCTATTTGCTCTTATTATATGTCTTAAATAAGTCAGTCTTCATTTATTTGAGACTCTATGGATTTACCAGGATTTATTTCATTCTAGATTGATATACACTCATGGACAAACTTAAGGAAGTTGTACCTTTCAGCATGTATATCGGGATTGAGACAATAACTCTGAAAGATATTACAGTGACCTTTATTGAAGACACACGAGATAACCAATATGCACTCATGGACAAAACTTAAGGAAGTTGTGCCTTTTACCATGTATATCGGGATTGAGACAATAACTCTGAGAGATATTACAGTGACCTTTATTGAAGACACACGAGATAACCAATATGCACTCATGGACAAAACTTAAGGAAGTTGTACCTTTCAGCATGTATATCGGGATTGAGACAATAACTCTGAAAGATATTACAGTGACCTTTATTGAAGACACACGAGATAACCAATATACACTCATGGACAAAACTTAAGGAAGTTGTACCTTTCAGCATGTATATCGGGATTGAGACAATAACTCTGAAGATATTACAGTGACCTTTATTGAAGACACACGAGATAACCAATATACACTCATGGACAAAACTTAAGGAAGTTTTACCTTTCAGCATGTATATCGGGATTGAGACAATAACCACACACACACACACACACACAAAAGCCTTTATTAAGACACACAGGTCTTACAGGGGATTCTCCTTGTGGTTACAAAGCGGAGAAAGTGGGAAATAAAAATGGTGAAAGAATATATACATATGGTAAATATATACATATTATAAGAAAGAATAAAGAAATAAGAAGAATTTTAAAAATAAATAAATAAAAATTAAAAAAATTTGGAAATATGGATGGGAGAAGTGGAGAGCGAAAAGAGGAAAGAAAGCAGGTATTTACATATGGGATTGAGACAATAACTTCTGATAGATATTACAGTCTTCTACAGATTATCCAAGTATAGAAATGTAGGATACATACAGGAATAACAGTAATAGTACCAGTAATAACAACAAAAAGCTTTATTAAGACCTTTCAGTCTTTATACAGATTCTCCAAAACAGAAATGTAGAATACAAACAGGAATAACAGTAATAGTACCTTAATGGTAATATGATATTATATACAAGAAAAAATTATATAAAGACAATCAAGCTAATAGATTAGTCTGGGTAAATTGGAGGACATTTATTATACATGGATTTACCACGGATTCACCGCAAATGAAGATTTAAAAAAAGCAAAAGTTAACCACAATCAATATTGATATAATGAAATTTATGGATAAAATACAATATTAAAAAATATAATTAATAAAATGTGAAACCCTTTCCTCAGCAAAAATAAAAATCCTAATTTGTCAGTTTTTAACAAAGGGGCAAGTTTTGGGGGAAGGGGGGCGGTAGGTATGTATGTGCGTAAGGAGGGAGGAAGAGGAGAATTAAAAAAAAAAGAAGAAAGAAAAAACCATGTTTTTTATATGATAAATACCTTACTGTACTGTAAGTCAATTTTTTTTCTTTTTCCGCGTGCAGCATAAACTTTCATAAAAAGTTTTGAATAAATTCTTCTTCCAATTAATAAAAAAAAAAAAACATCCCAGCCGGGACTCGAACCCGGGACCTTTGGATTAGAAGTCCAACGCGCTATCCACTGCGCTACTGGGACATATACAATCATCCTCAGTTAAGTTTTACAATCAATTTCTATGATAGGAAATTTTCTTTTTTTTAATTAATAGTTCGAATAAATTTTTAATATATGTACTTATTTTAAATTTAAAGAAAAACTTGAATTTACACAATATATCAGAATCACTATAGAACAGTCTATCCAAACCGACCAATCAAGAATAACCAATTCGAAGCTACACACACACTACAAATATTTACATAAAACATTCGCAGCAGAGAACTATCTACTAAGTGAACTCCCACTGCCGGCTAAACGCCTCATTGCGCAATTGAGAATTCTATTTGTTTTATATCGAGAAGACCATATAAAATATCTAAGGACAGAAGACTTGTATTGCCAACTATGCAAAAATAGAACCGAAAATGAATTAGAACATTATATATTTGAATGCATGCCTCTTGACACGGAAAGAAAAATACTCTTCTCTAAGATAGGCCATACACACTTCACATTATATTCTTTATTATCCAACTTTATAGACAATAGTTCAGTAGCTCTAAATCTATATAACTTCCATAAAAATGCTGTAAAAAAGAAAGACTTAACCGAACATTCAAACATACCAAAAATTTCTGTTTGATAAGAAAGACAGAACCAACATCCAATTATTTGTTTAGGCAGATACGATAAGTTAACAATGATAAAACGGTGTTTACCTTACAACCCTGAACACGAGGATTTCCTGGGAAATCTCTTAAAGATTTCTTAAAAAATACATGGCCCACCTGCGCTGTTCCATCTTGTTCCATATGTAAATACCTGTTTTCTTTCCTCTTTTCGCTCTCCACTTCTCCCATCCATATTTCCAAAAAAATTTTTTTTTCTCTTTTTTTGATTTTTTTTTTATTCTTCTTACTTTTTATTCTTTCTTATAATCTGTATATATTTACCAAATGTATATAATCTTTCTCCATTTTTTATTTCCCACTTTCATAGGTTCCTCCGTTTTGTAACCCCAAGGAGAATCCTCTGTAAGACCTGTGTGTCTTAATAAAGGCTTTTGTGTGTGTGTGTGTGTGAATTTACACAATACAATTAAATTATGTCAAATGATATAATGGTATTATTGATTGGGAAAATAAAATAATCTTTTGATATATAAAATGTAGGGTGTAAAATATATTAATGAAAGATATATACCTATAACCTTTAATGTTATTTTAATTATTAAAAATTAATTCATTTTTATATATTACGTTTTACATTTGAATTTTATTTTACCAACGTGTAACCAAAAAAATTAAATAAATTTTTTATTTAAACTTTTATGTTTTCACCATACTAAGTATTCAATAATACTAGTTAAAAATTAACTAGTTAAACAATATTAGTTTATTTCTCTAAAACCTTACACAATGACTAATCAATTTATTTAATATATTAAAAACCATATTTAATGCATTTAAATTAACAGCATCATGGTCAATGTGGTCTCAAATAATATTAAATATATTATATGGTCAATGATCAAATAAATATTATATATATTATAAATGGTCAATGATCAAATAATATTAAATAAATGGTCAATGATCAAATAATATTAAATAAATGGTCAATGATCAAATAATATTTAATATATGGTCAATGATCAAATAAAATTAAATTTATGGTCAATGATCAAATAATATTAAATATATTATATATGGTCAATGATCAAATAAATATTAATTATATTATACAAAAACTTCAACAGATAGTTACAGAAATGTTTAAAAAAAAAAAATTTTTTTTTCGTTAATGTGAAATATAATATTTTAGAAACATTTTCCTCAACCAGGCCATTAAAAATTGTTGTTTAAAAAAATGCTGACTCGTATCGTTTTTATTTATTTGTTGAAGCTTTTGACCATGTCAGGATTTTGGTCTGTCGATGGATTGCTCTATTTTTAAAAACTATTTAACGATATTAAAAATTTGTGTCTTATCCGTTGTTTTATGATCAAAAACGAATATCTTTGATAAAAAATATAAAAAGTTGTATCCTTCTAGAATTTTGCCACGAGGAAAATTAGGGAAGACCAATTTCTTATCTATCTCTTTACTCGACTAATTGGCCATTATAGAATGATCTTCTAGTCCTACCAACGAAAGTCCAACTTCGGGATGAGACAACAATTTATTTCAAGCAAGAACAAACTATTAATGATAAAACAAAAGATAAGTAATAAGGGAAGTAAAACAACACTTGAAGTTACAGTTGAGTTTATTTTCAATGAAAAATCAAAATTTATTTCAAGGTGAAATATTGACTATTTCTAACCTTTTTGGATGAGGTATGAAAGGGGGGTGAATTATGAAGAGTAATGATGAACGGAAAAATAAAAGTGCCCAGGGATGGGATTCGAACCCACAATGTTCCGCTTACCGGGCAGATGCCATGTACACTAGGCTACCCTGGACGTATTTTTCCGTTCACAAATAATACATAAAGTAACTTATAATACAATATAATACACTGCGGCTTGTGATTGTAAAACAACATTTGAAGTTACGCCGCATGAGGAGGAGAATAAGGGAAGTGTACAGAGTATAGCAAAATATAAACGTAAAAAATAATACTCTGCTAATAAAATAATAAATACTTTGTTACAATATTCACTAGACGGTCCCTCGACGCCATTGACCCCCCCCCCCCCCCCCCCCCCCATCGTCTGCTACACTACATTCTAGTGTTACCAGACCGTAAAGCAGAGTTTCCACATGTGTAGACCACATGGCTACTCGGGTAGAAAACTGCCTTCTACATTCTTGTGGTCTACATGGTCGATAGACATTGAAGTTTAAACACAAGGTAATAAGACCAAATAGGTAACGAACGCTGCTACCAAAACGTCACACACCATTTATTTGATCTTATTACCTTGTGTTTATAATCTACTAGCGGATGTACCCGGCTTCGCCCGGGTTTTACCCGAGTAAAGGTTTGTCTAACGAACATTTGTTAAAACAATTCTCTATAAACTTATAAAAAAAGAAAGATATATTTTGATAATTTGAAACTCGTAAATTTGAATCTCTCGATAAAGTGAAGTTATCCTGAATTTTGTCTTTCCTAATTTTCTACATTACAAAATCATCGTATCATCATGATAATATTTAGAGCAGATTGTTGAATTATAACAGATAAATTAGAATATTTATCTTGATTATTTTAAAGCGAAAAGTTATTTCAAAAATTTTATTTGCTAGAAACCTTCCCAGTACTATACTAAATAACTTCCCAAAGTTTCATGGCGTTCCAATGAGTGGTTTGGTCTGGCATAAAGGACAGACAGACACACACACACATACACACACATACATTCATTTTTATATATATAGACTAGACGAATGACCCGGCTTCGCCCGGGAATTCCCCCGAGTGCAATTTCCTTCATACTGAAAGAACATTACTAATAAATAGTATTAGAGCCATAGAATAGCAACACCGAAGTAATACATTATCACAGGCAAAAAGTATGTGTGATGTAAAAAAATGCAATATATTAGTATTTAGGTATTTTATTTATTTATTTTTCAATCCATTTAGGTGTTTTAAATATAGTTCAAATAGTTGGCAGATTTTAAGAATTATCATATTGACTGTAACTTTAATTTATTATTATATAAAAAAAAACAAATGCCAGAACAAAAATTAATAAAAAATACGAAAGCCATTGTTTACATACAGTAACGCTAATTTTGTAAAGTTTTTTTAAAAATTGCATTGTGTGCACTTACCGTAACTTAGTAATATAAATTTCTCTCTCAATACTTTTGTAAAAAAATGTGACACTCGTATAAAAAGATATTTAAAAAAAAGTACGCAAGCAACTTGAAAAGAAATGCAGAACGCTCATTGGTCGCTTAATTGGCCTCGTGTTGTTACTTCGCCTCGTATTTACTCCGCGTAAAAAAAAAAAATTCTTTAAATGAAAAAAAAGAAATAGCCAAAAATACTAATCAAAATGTAGCCGAAAATTTTCCTCAGGTTTATAAAAAGCGACATACAAAATTTGGTACCAATTGGTTCAGTAGTTTTTGAGTTTATCGCAAAACAGACATTGACTTTTATATATATATAGATAATCAAAATTGTACCTTATTGAAGGTTATTTACATATTAAACAAAATGTTAACGCGGGATTCAATCCCAGTTCATGACTGTCGGGAATCGAGGGTGTTACCTACTGGTCCACCGACTCTTCATTTGCTATCTAAATGGAATGTTGGTATATCATATATCGGTAGAGTAGAAAGTTATAAACGGTTGAAGAGATGATGTTTTCAGAGTTTGCTAAATCTAGCCAAGGACGTCTTGTGGCGACAACTTTGTGAGTTTGGGAGGAAGTCTCGATTGGAAATGCTTACCTCACCGATAAGAAGCGATTGATAAGTTGTTTTTTTGTGCATAGATTCCAGTCTTATCTCCACGTGGAGTTGGGATTGGGAAAGTTCTGACAGTCTGGGTGACACGGTACCACCGTCGCTATAGCTCTGGTTGTATGACCTGGAATCTCCTCAACCAGCCATAGGATCGCAGTATTCCTCTCAGAGCTTCCTTTCTATGGCTGGTCTTTTGATGGTATCATAGGGTCTATCTATTTCTCCTCAACCAGCCATAGGATGGCAGTATTCCTGTCCTCTCAGAGCTTCCTTTCTATGGCTGGTCTTTTGATGGTATCATAGGGTCTATCTATTTCTCCTCAACCAGCCATAGGATGGCAGTATTCCTGCCCTCTCTGAGCTTTCTTTCTATGGCTAGTCTTTTGATGGTATCGTAGGGTCTATCTATTTCTCTTCAACCAGCCATAGGTTGGTAGCTGGCAGTATTCCTGTCCTCTCAGAACTTCCTTTCTATGGCTGGTCTTTTGATGGTATCGTAGGGTCTATCTATTTCTCCTCAACCAGTCATAGGTTGGTGACTGGCAGTATTCCTGTCCTCTCAGAGCTTCCTTTCTACGGCTAGTCTTTTGATGGTATCGTAGGGTCTATCTATTTCTCCTCAACCAGCCATAGGTTGGTGACTGGCAGTATTCCTGTCCTCTCAGAGCTTCCTTTCTATGGCTAGTCTTTTGATGACCAAGTCTAGATAGAAATGTTTTCGGAAGGAAATGGATCTATAAAAACAAAGTTTATCTCTCCTGTCAAAATAGACATAAAAACTAGACCCTATCTATTGACCGTCTCCACAAACAAGCGGCCTCGGGTCGGTGACAAAGCCACAACACCAGCTTTGCTAAACTGAGAAGCGTCCATCTGGAGACCATGGTTTCAGGCTAATGGCCCTCTAGCTGGTACTGGGATCAGGTTGATAAATTAATTTTAAAAAAAGTTATCTCCTGATAGTGTAACTAAAAGTTGCTGATGGCTTGCGCCATCTATCGGAATAAATATCAACTAATCGTTTATTTTTTATTATTCCAGAATTGATCTATATAATTCTAGAATATCTTGATTAATAAAAAAAAAAAGGGAAATTTGACCAATATTCTGGAATAATTTTAAAAATCAACGATTAATTGATATTTATTCCGATAGATGGCGCAAGTCATCAGCAATATTTACTGGTGACTATCAGGAGATGTCTTTTTTCATAATCCAATGTCTATGTTGGAATCTGGTTATTGATGGAATCTCTTGATGCGACTATACAGCATTGGACCATTGTCAACGACCTTTGTGGTATATAGCTACAAGGGAGAAAAACAGTTCTGGGGATGGGAGACATAATTACAAATGTCATTTTGTCAAGTTGTGCTGTCTTGTAGACGTCTGTGATTCGATAGACAACACATGGCCATTCCTGGAAGGTTATAGGGCTTCCAGACATATAACAGGCGAATGCCTTATTGTCAACATTTCCACAGCCCGGGATCGATTCCCCCTTTAGACACTTTTTTTTTTTTATCTTCAATGAACCCCAAATCCAAATCCACCAGTGAGTGCAAGTAACGAAACGTAGTTATCTGTCATATTTTTAAGTGAAAAAAACGAATTGCTTTTTTTACATGTGTAGACATGTGGTGTACTTACAGTAAAACCTGTTGTTAACTACTCACCATGATTATAATGGCATACTTGGGATAAATACAACCAACCACCAAGATACACTCATGGACAAAACTTAAGGAAGTTGTATCTTTTACCATGTATATCGGGATTGAGACAATAACTCTGAAAGATATTACAGTGAGCTTTATTGAAGACATACGAGATAACCAATATACACTCATGGACAAAACTTAAGGAAGTTGTACCTTTCAGCATGTATATCGGGATTGAGACATTAACTCTAAAAGATATTACAGTGAGCTTTATTGAAGACACACGAGATAACCAATATACACTCATGGACAAAACTTAAGGAAGTTGTACCTTTCAGCATGTATATCGGGATTGAGACATTAACTCTAAAAGATATTACAGTGAGCTTTATTGAAGACACACGAGATAACCAATATACACTCATGGACAAAACTTAAGGAAGTTGTACCTTTCAGCATGTATATCGGGATTGAGACAATAACTCTGAAAGATATTACAGTGACCTTTATTGAAGACACACGAGATAACCAATATACACTCATGGACTAAACTTAAGGAAGTTGTACCTTTCAGCATGTATATCGGGATTGAGACAATAACTCTGAAAGATATTAAAGTGACCTTTATTGAAGACACACGAGATAACCAATATACACTCATGGACTAAACTTAAGGAAGTTGTACCTTTCAGCATGTATATCGAGATTGAGACAATAACTCTGAAAGATATTACAGTGAGCTTTATTGAAGACACACGAGATAACCAATATACACTCATGGACAAAACTTAAGGAAGTTGTACCTTTCAGCATGTATATCGGGATTGAGACAATAACTCTGAAAGATATTACAGTGAGCTTTATTGAAGACACACGAGATAACCAATATACACTCGTGGACAAAACTTAAGGAAGTTGTACCTTTCAGCATGTATATCGGGATTGAGACAATAACTCTGAAAGATATTACAGTGACCTTTATTGAAGACACACGAGATAACCAATATACACTCATGGACAAAACTTAAGGAAGTTGTACCTTTTATCATGTATATATGGATTGAGACAATAACTCAGAAAGATATTACAGTGACCTTTATTGAAGACACACGAGATAACCAATATACACTCATGGACAAAACTTAAGGAAGTTGTACCTTTTATCATGTATATATGGATTGAGACAATAACTCAGAAAGATATTACAGTGACCTTTATTGAAGACACACGAGATAACCAATATACACTCATGGACAAAACTTAAGGAAGTTGTACCTTTTATCATGTATATATGGATTGAGACAATAACTCAGAAAGATATTACAGTGACCTTTATTGAAGACACACGAGATAAAAAAATAGACAATCGGCGAC